TATGTGTGTGTGTGTGTGTGTGTGTGTGAGAGTGTGTGTGTGTGATTATGGCAGTGGTTCAGGATTGTCATTTAAAAATAAAAAGGTCTTTTAATAATAAATATCATAACGTCAGCTCTTTTTATTGTCTTGTTCTTTTAGACTGTCATCCACTTTCTCTTGTCTGTTGTGAAGCACATAATTAATCTGCAGGGTAAACCGCTCAACTTTATATTCCACATCACTCTGATTCATCAGACGAAATGAGCCTCTCGACTGAATCCTAATGGAAAGAAAAGCAAGTTAACGACTCATAAAATCGATAAATATTTAAGATGCTGGTGTGGACTCAGATAAAGCGTGCCGCTGCTCTCTGACCTGCCCTCTCTCTCACTGGCTGTATTAGTTTATAGAGGCCATCCGTCTGATTCACACATTAATAACCACTAGCAGCACTGCAAATGATACACAAATAGACAGTTTAATTTTCCAGTGAAAAATGAAAATGTTTCCGTCTGAAAACGACCCTGCTGAACATGATGCATCGCTGCGCCTCTGCCAGCAAGAAAAGAGCAAGTTTTGTGAAATATAGTTGTGAATTCGGACTGAACGTCTTAGTCTCACATTGCCATTGCATTCATATTTAATTCTTTAGAATATCAGAAAGAATCATTAGGGTCAGGGTCTCACATCCCACGCAATACTCATGATTTTCAAAAGATGGATTCCCAATGTTCACTGTCTGAGCACACTGTTGATGATTTAACAGCCGTGAGCTAAGCTGATGTGTGATAGAGACGGGCTGATGCTCAATCTAACGTCACAATCATCATTCTGCAGAGCGTCGGACGGACAGAGTGCATTCTGGGCTTTGTTGGTCTTTGGACGGGCAGTAGCGCAGCGGCACACAATGAAAACCAATTTCCTGACATAAACAATCCGTTATCGGGCCGCTCAGACAAAGCAGCTCATTACAGTGTGACGACGGGAGGACACACACACACACACACACACACACATACACACACACACACAGGTTTGTTTTTGTGAAAAGTGGGGATTCTCCATAGGCGTAATGGTTTTTATACTGTACAGACCGTATATTCTATTGCCCTACACCAACCCTACCCCTAAACCTACCCCTCACAGGAGACTTTCTGCTATTTCAGATTTTCAATACACTCCATTCTGTGTGATTTATAAGCGTTTTGAAAAGTGGGGACATGGGGTAATGTCCTGAAAAGGTACCTTCTCCTTGTAATACCTGTCATACATTTGTCATTATTCAAATTTATGTCCTCATTTGTCACAAAAACGCACGCGCGCGCGCACACACACACACACACACACACGTTAACCGGAGAAGACACTGCCCTGGAGTACACACTGTTAACCAAAACCGGTCAAGCCACCTTATTTCTATAGCGCTTTATACAATTCTGATTGTTTCAAAGCAGCTTCACAGTGATAAAACTACAACTATTAACAATCGTCTTCATTAAATGAAATGAAGCCGAATAAAATAAAATCAAATTTAAATATTAAATGAAAATTTCTAAAACCAAAATTAGAAATGTTGCATTGGCAGCTGACTGAACACAATACGTTTAATTAGAATTACTAATAAAAAATTCTAAATATAACTGTAGTTAAAAAAAACAACATTAAAAGTAATTAAAACGACAAAAAAAGCAAATAACAAATTTAATACAACTTTAACTAAAATTACAATGAAAACTCAGAATATGACAATAATAGCTAAATAAAAATATTAATAAACACCCAAATATAATAGTGTATAAAGAATGTATTTATTAATTTATTATAAAAATGAAAATTAAAAATGTTGCAACTGGCTGAGAAAAATATGTTTAAGCAGAAGTACTAAAATTGTATTATATTACATTGAATTGAATAAAATTGAATAAAATAAATGTCTAGTTTAAAAATGGCAAAAACTGACAAAAAAATCAAATAATATAAGTACTAAAACTTGAATAAACTGAGAATAAGAAAATAAGCTAATCCTGTCACCCGTGTGTGCTGAACCTCACAGAAATTACATTCATGTATGAAATGAAATCAGTGCATGAGTGTTTCTGACCTCGTGTTTTACACAGATCTGCTGACTTCACAGGCTCACTGCGTGGATGAACACATGACATCTGAGAGCCTGACGCAATCAATCAATCAATCAATCAATCAATCAATCAATCAATCAACCCAGTGAATTCAATCCAATCCTCTACAGTTCAGACTGACCCAGATCTCTGGATATCACCTGTAGATGTCTGCATGACCAGCCGAATCATCTCATGAGTGTTTGACTGCTCCAGTGTTGGTTTATCAGAGATTGACTGATATAAACAAACACACACTAATGTCAATGAATAATGAATGAAGCCCTGCTGAGTGCTCTTCATAACACACACATGCTCAACCCAACCATACAGAGCTCAAATCAGGACTCAGGCTTCAGGAAAACCCTTGTCACCTCTTGTGTTTTGCAGCATAATTAATAGTGAGTGAATGCTGTTGAATCATAACTCACCCGTGAGTAGACGACCTCCAGTGAGATGTTCTGCGGTGGAGCACTGGGCACTGCGGACACACAAACACATACCACAGTCATCAGGATCAACACTAATGTGCCCCACGGGTCACCTAATGGCCCTGGAGAGAGTTAACCAGTTTAGTTAAGTTAGGGAATCTATCTCGCTCCAGCGGGACAGCAGCAGACAGATGTTCTTCCATCAGAGGAACACAATCAATCTGTAAATGAGGCTTCAGATAAACAGGCTGTATCTGAGACGCTCTGCAGGTCAGGAGGTTATCTGAGGACTCTCGGCATGAGTTTGGACTAATAGTTTGGAGACATTAATGATTAACCTAAAGACTGTGTGTGTGTGTGAGTGTGTGTGTGCATACATGTGCACATATGGTGTGTGTGTGAGTGTGTGCTTGTATACGCACATGTGAGCAAGTGTGTGCATGCATGAGTGTGTGTCTGCATGCATATGCTTGTGTGTGTGCATGCATGTGTTAGCAAGTGTGAGTGTGTGTGCATGTGCATACATATGCATGTGTGTGGTTATGTGTGCATGCATATGTGTGTGCGAGTGTGTGCACATGCATATGGGTGTGTGTGCAATCAAATGCGTGTATATATGCATTTGTGTGTGCATTGATATGCGTGTGTGTGCGCATGCATATGAGTGTGCGTGTGTGTGTGTGTTTATTTGTGCATGAATATGTGGGTGTGTGTGCGTGTGAGTGTCAGCATGCATATGTGTGTGCGAATGTGTGTGCAGGCATGTGTGTGTGCGTGAGTGTGTGTGTGCATGCATGTGTGTGTGTGCATGCGAGTGTGTGCATGGATATGCAAGTGTGTGTGCATGTATGCGTGTGTGTGTGTGTGTGTGTG